TATATATATGTATGCAATATACATATATATATATATATAATTAGGACAAGGTAACTGTAGATTTGATGAAGTTCAAGATGATATTATACTAAATTCCAAAATTTAATCATAATGTGCAAAATTATAGCAATGTTAACTTTTCTCACAAATGACTTGGACAATTTAGGGCCTTTGACACCCAAAAACCAGAAGTATTTGAGTTTCACTTCATGTTTTAGCAGTTACAAAATGCAACGTCAGTCGTATCAGTGCAACTTCTAAACCTTTTTTTTTTTTTTACTTATTTTTTGGTGGAAAAACAAAAACCCATAAATGTATTTCTGGTGCTGCATACGCAGACATACAGTGTCTGCTATCTCATGCTACATCAACAAAAATAAAGACGGTTAATAACTCTTTGTAACTGATAGAGGATCCTTTATGCAACTGATGCATCGTGGTCCTAGGTCAATTACTCTTCATTTCAAATATTTAACACCAGTGGTGAAGCGGCCATTTTAAAGAAAATAGTACAAATTTGCTTCAAGTTGAAATTCCTAGTGCTTATAGACATAACCAGACACCAAAATCTTGTGCCTTTATATTACCCTTCATTCTATAGATGTTTAAAATCATACAGTCTAAGACATCCAAGATGGCCACCACCCAAAATGGATGTTTGTTGGTTCAATGGAATCCCCATACCTGTAAACCTACACCAATATTAATATCCTACATAACCTAAAAACAACATTAATTAGCTCAATGCATAATGTGGCAGCCATTTTGAAAAAAAGTATCTGTTTAATTTGGCATTTAAGTTTTATTTCTATTTAAAATGTGGCACCTTTTTCATTTGTGTAACAATTTAACTGGTAACAGACCCCACTATAGGCTTCATGGGGGATGGAATTGCAGTAAAATGTATTATAAAACTGCATTATGTACTCATACACTTAAAGCAAAATCCATTTTATTTACCACAAAGATACGGTAAGCTATACTTTTGCAACAGTTGTAAGAAAATAAACAATTTCTGAGTTGGGCTAAGTCCCCAGTCTGCTAAAATGTTAACAGCTCCCTTGTCTTCATTCAGATCTTCGCTGACAGGAAGTTAAAAACCCACACTGGAGAAGTTAAGGCGGACTCTAACACAAAGATAGACTCCCACTAAACGTTGAACTCACTGAGAGTCTGTCTGCTGCCATGTTGACTCGACTGCTTCTGCTTCTCTGCCTGGTTGGACAAACAGTGGCCAAAAAGCCTCCTGGTAAGAGCTTTAATAATCTAATAAATTATAGTTTTGATTTTATATTAATAGTTTATATGTGACTGAACTGCGTAGGATTTTCTTAAAATGCATGGCAGATTGATTAATAATCTGTCCGAGTGAGCTATAATGAATGGTAGCTGACATTTGTAATAATTCCCAACTTAAGACCACCACATTAAAATAAGATTATTTAACTTCTGTTACAGAGCACTGTTTTAAAAAATTCCCCTTCGTGACATTTATTTCATTATCTAGCCGGTGCTTGAGTGTGGTATCCATTTAATCTTGTGCATCAGTCAGAACAACACAGTCATATGTCACCTAATGATTCATTCTCAGGGTAACTACTTCTACGGTAAAAATAGAAACATGAAATTAAACGTTTCTATTTGTTTAGTTTACAATGTGAGAAAGAACGCCACAGTCACAGTATCACTGTCCTGTGTTAAAAGGTGAAATGTAGATTATCCTTAAATTTATTTACTTTTTTTAATTAAATAATTAAATTTCTGAAACTTTTCGATAAAAAGCATTTTTGGATGTCCATGATTTACCTTTGGAGTAAACCCAATTCAAGATGCACCCCACACAGTTATAGCTCCAAAAGATTGTTCAAGATGTCGCAATATTTGGTGCAGTCACGTTATTTTTCAAAAGTTTGACCAAAATTTCTCAAACTGTGGCGGGTCAGATGCATTCCTTCAAGGAATGTTATGACTTTTTGTTCCAGATTCTTAAAGTGCTTCAGACGTCCACTTTAATGTTGCGACATTGTTCTGTGATATCTTTAATTTGATATTTGTCAGTTTTGTGTTGCTTCTGTCAAACCCCAACATGCTCAGATAAATTAAAACTGTAGTTTCTTACCCCACCCCCTTTATTTTGTTTGCATATTCATTCTCAAACCATCCCACTGTCAGGATTGTGTTTTCAGTTCAGTTGGACACGATGAACAAATGAAACTCTTCTCAAGGATGTGTCTTTACTTTCCGGTCTTGAATTTTCGTGCTTAATAAAAACCTAAACTAAAACCTTGACTGTATTTTTTGAGCTACAGTTAGTTCAAGCAATGTAATGGCTGTGGAACTGTTTGGGGAGGATAGTCCTGCAACAATACTGTACTGAGCCCGCCAAGAGACATGGAAGTTTGAAACAAAGGTATTTTTGCAAGAGCAAAATGTTTGCCTCAGGTGGGCGTCTTCTTCAGCAGTGACGGCAGGATGGAGCGAGAGATAGAGTTGCATTCGAGCCCAAAAAATCCGACCCGGCTCCAGTCCGTAGCCATCATTTCCGAAGCCCACCCGACCCGATGAATTAACAGTAATTACATGTAGGTCCAAACCCGAAACAAAAACCCGACATTTTTAATTAAGCTTTGACTGCTCATATTAATGGTCGGCGGACAGACGTGGCTGAGTAAAAGGGGCAGAAGATCGGAGCTGAGGGGGTGTTTGTCCTTTCATGGCCATCAAAGCGCATTAAACCTTTGCTTCTGCCTGCATTCTGCATTATTCAGACACGGACCCTGCTCTGACATGTCGGGCTTCGTCCTCAGTGATGAGAGCATTGCTTCAGGATTTACTGGTCTGTCTACGTTCCAGTCCTCACCTGTGGTCATGAAGTTTGGATCGTGACCAAAAGAGCACGATCCCAGATACAATGGGCTTCCTTTGTAGGGTGGCCGGGCTCAGCCTTAGAGAAAGGTGCTCTGTTTTCTGGGGGGAGCTCAGACATTCGCATTGAGAGGAGTTAGTGTATCTGGTTCGGGCATCTGATTAGGACACCTCTGGGACGCTGCCCCTTTGGAGGATTTTCCAGGCACAACCCACTGGGGAGGGCCCAGGAGGAGCTGGAGAGTGTCACTGCAGAGAGGGATGTATGGGTTTTTCTCCTGGGCCTGTTGCCTCCTCAACCCAACTACGAAGAAACGATAGAAGATGGAGATATCCTGCAAAAGTTCAAAGTACGTGGTGTCGTGCTGAGATATTTTCAAAACTCCTGCATTTTTAAACGTTTTCTAAGCTGCTACTGCTTCCTTTATCTGCTAACCTGAAGTTCTCCTTGATGTTAGCCCAAGATTTCTATAGTGTTTCCAACACTGTCTGTACATATAAAGTGACAAATAAAGTATATTATTTTAATTTATTATGGTTTATTTAACTGTTGAAAATGTTACTTATATTTTACTTGTCAAAAATCATCTTTATTTGTTTTATCATGGCCTACAATCGGACTTTTTCAGTTCTTCTGACGCTTCCTTTCCGTGCAGAGTTATGATAAAGACATGCAGAGACACAGACCTCAGATGGAAAGCCTTACAAATCGCCGGCGTCTTTATTGTGATATCTTCATATCACTTTGTTCAAACTGTGAGGCTGGCTGAAAAACAAAGATGTGCAGAGTTTCAGTGCACAACTTTCCTCTCTGTGGTCAGCTGGGTTTTTTATATATTTTGGTTGTTCGTGAGAGAACGTGTCAACTTAGAAATTGAAGTTGCACAATTTTCAACAAGTGTGGGTTTAAAAGATTGTTTTTGCTGCTTATCAGCTGCAGCGGTGAGCAATCATGCATAAGTAATGGCTTCCAGGAGTTAGTTTGTTTAATTGTTAGCAAAATATGACACGAGCTGATGTACAGATTTTAATGAAATGCTCACAAAGTACCGGTATTTTTTGGATGTACATATACATCTGAAAAGCTTATTTTATTTATTAACCTTTATTTAATCAGGCAAATCTTATTGAGATCACAGATCTCTTAGAAGGGAGGCCTGTGCCTGAAGGCAGCCTAACATGCATGTTTTTGTACTGTGGGAGGAAACCAGAGTACCTGGGGAAAACACATGCAAACTCCACATAGAAAGACCCCAGGTCCAACCTGGGGATTGAACCCAGGACCTTCTTGCTGTGAGGCAACAGTGCTAACCACTAACCCATTGTGCTGCAAACTTGCATAAGCCTTATCACAACTAATCATCCTTAGCACACAAAAATGGCTCAGTTTTACAGATTTGCAGCTAAAGCTTGGTGTTGTAGTGGCCCAGGCAGACAACCCAAGCATGCTAACTATTAGATCTTTGTTTAAAACTTTGGTTTGCAGGTTGGTGAGGAAAAAATACTTTCATTAATTATTTTATGAAACGATTCTCATTTTTGTTCAGTAATGATGAAAAAAATCTCTTGTTTTGGACAGATGTGGAGTGTCAAGTGGTGAACTTGGAGTATGTTCAATGTTCCTGGAATAAAGACGGGACTCCAGAGGTCAATTACACATTTTCCAGCTGGTTAGTACGGTAGCGGGTTTTATTTGAAATCTTAGTAATTTTTCCTGTGCTGGAATTATAAATATGTTGCTTTATGACTTGAATTTAATTTTCTCCATGAGTAAGATAAGAAGGAAAGCAATGGAAAGGGTTTTTTTTTTTTTTTTTTTCAGAAAAACTTAAAACAACTAATATTCATATGAGAGATTAAACTGATTACAGTTGAAATATACATATATATATGAGCATTTTTTGTATGAGTAACAAAATTTTATCTATGCGCAGGGTGCACTACCAAAAGGAGACAAACTGTTCCAAGTACTTGTTAGAAAACGACACAAACGTTGGATGTATTCAAGCTTACGTCGTTAAATTAAGATTCATGACATTTTATACTGTCCTGAAACATGGCAGCGAGATGGCTCAGATGAAACACCAACTTAAAAACAGAGGTATGAACTTTATTATTGTATAATATAAAACTAGACCATTTAATAAATGAATCACATTTTCTGTCACTTTTTTTGTGCTGTCACCAGTCAAGTTAAATCCACCAACCAACGTGACCGTCCAAAATGGATCTGACTTCAACCTGTGGTTTTACTGGAACCAGACTGCAACGTGTGTGGAGAGGGAAGTTCGCTACAGAATAAACAACAACAAGTGGGAGGTAGGCTGCTGCTTTCTTCTGTTTTATACTGTCAAACTTTATTTAAATCTTTTGGTTTCATCATGGTGTTTTATTGACTGTTTTATTTTGCAGCACACTATAGTTCCTGATGACAGTTACTACATCAACTTCCCCTCCAGCAGCGCCAGATATGAGCTGCAGGTACGAAGTAAAATGGCTGAGATGTGTGGAGGCTCCATATTCTGGAGTGACTGGAGCGAGCCTGTGGTCTGGGGCTTCAATAAAAGCACAAGTAAGCTGCCAGCTGTTTGTTACAGTTTGTACATCTGCAGATAAATTATTGTACAACTAAATGCCCTCTTTTCCCTTCCCATATACAAACATTTTAAAAGACTCGATATCCGTGTGGACGCCAGTGCTTTATGCAGTGGGGGCCATCACTCTGATCCTGCTGGTCCTGATGTTACTGCAGCATGAACGGTGAGTATCCCATCATGCTTTGGGGGATTTAGGAGGAGTCTTTGTTTTTGTTAAAGTTTAATATTCACTCTTTTTAATCCAATCACTTAAACTCCTACTTGTTTCCCACAACTAAGCATTTCAACCCTTCCTTTGTCTGTAATATCGTTCTCCACTCCTTGTTGGATTTTCTTTTTCTTCTTTCGGCTGCTCCCTTCTTCAGGGCTTGCCACAGTGAACTAAGTCACACAAAGACTTTGCAATTGTTTTTACGCCGGATGTTCTTCCTGACACAACCACAGACCACAGAGCTACCACAGCCCTCTGTGTGGAGCGGAGATCAGGGCACCCAGGGGAGCAGATGGCGGGGGTTAAGAACCTTGCTCAAGGGCTGAGTGGGGCAAATGAAGAGGGAGGCAGATGTGGGTGCTTCACCTTTCCCATCCATATTCTGATGTTGTTACGAGGTTCTAATGTCGAATTGATGACCTTCCGATCACAGGCTCACGTTCTTTAGCCTCTGACCACCACTCCCCCCACTCCTTGTTTGAGTTAAAATACAATTTTATTATTCCTTCTTTCCTCTTTTGCTCAGTGTTGCTTAGTGCACATGAACCAAGAGGCTATAGTGGCTCAGCGGTCAGTGCCCCAGTCTCAGAATCCTAACGCTGCAGGTTCGACTCCCTGTTATGTCAGGAAAAGCATCTGGTGTAAAACCCAAATTTTCGCACAACTATGTTGTGACTCCTACAGAACAGGGCAGCTGAAAGAAAAACAACAAGTGCACAAGGATCAAAAAGATCCACCTTCAGCCGACTGTGTGCCGTCCAAAAATTTTTAACCAAAGACTAATCATGTCAGTTGATTTGTCTGGATTGCAAAAACAGTTAGAAATTAAAGCATATCGCTTGTCTCCTCTCATGTTTTAAACAAAAGATCAGTTGCGATCAGTGAGCACTCTGTTGGGGATGAGTCCCAGTTACCACCCCAGTAAATTTGGGTTGAATATCTGTAAAAATGACAGAGATAAAACCATGGATGTGTTTGTTAAGGTGGGTTAGCATGAATCTGGTTGACTCCAAAAGATGAACAGTTTTTAGATGTACATCCAGTTCTTACTTGCTGAGATTTCCTTTAAACTGGGTGCACTAATTTATGAGATGATGGCACTGCAGCTCAGTGGTTAGAGCTGTCACCTCTCAGCGAGAAAGTTGCAGGATTGCCTCCTGGCCTAGATTGGAGTTTGCACATTCTCCTTGAACATGTGTTGGTTTTGTCCGGGTACTCCAGTTTCCTCCCACAGACCGAAAACATGCACCTTAGGCTGATTGGTAACTCTAAATTGTCCCTAGGTGTGAACAAGAGTATGGACAGTTGTCTGGTTTGTCTCTATGTGTCCCTGTGATGGACTTGCGACCTGTCCAGGTAGCACATTGGCTTTCGTACAGTGATTGTACATGGGCACCAGCTCAACGTGACCTGGAAAGGAGAAGTGGGTAAAGACAATGGATGGATGAATTATGAGATATTTGGTGACAAACATGTGGACTGCAAGATGGCGGCGCCAGTGTGTTCGGCTTGCCTCTCCCTGCATACTTTGATTGTTTTTGTGTTGTTTTTTGCTTTTATAACTAGTGTCGACTCTCTGCTGGTGTATAATCGCCAAACGCTTTTTAATCTTCGACCCGATATTAACAACTTGGCTCCGTTTGTGAATGACAGCCAGAAAACTTTTTTCCCTCCATTTCTGTCGGACGTGCCGGCCTACCTGTGCCGCGCCCCAGCTCCACCAGCGCACAGAGCGCGCAGACGCCGCGGGAGACGCAGCGGCCAGCTGGTCAGACTGAAAGCTCAGCTGGCGTCCTCCCTATCCGCTCTCTCTGAGTTTGGAGCTGCATCTAATTGTTTTATCTCATGGCGCTCCCTGGATCTCATCAGCTCTTCTCTGGCTCCTGTTGTTGGCCTGGGTGAGGGACAACTGCGCGATGCCTCCCCCCTCCCCTCGTCCGAGTGCGCGGAGTGAACCACCACAACCTGCTCGATCTGGCTCCTGCGTCGGATCACACCCCGGCTGCTGTTGGCCTGGGTGGGGGGCCGCTGCTGCGCGGCCTCTCCTTTCCTCTCCTCCGCGTCCGAGGAGTGAACCACCACAACCTGCGGCTGCTGGACAGAGCTCCTCGGATGGATGACTTCACCCTGGCTCCATCTCATGTTCACATGGCTCTGGTTAATGCTAGATCTTTAACAAACAAGACCTTTATTCTGAAGGACTTCTTCACCTCCCGTGGTCTGGATTTTTTATTCATTACTGAAACATGGATAACTGCCGGTGAGTCCAGTGCTTTTTGTGAACTCCTGCCTCCAAACTGTGCATACTTCAGCTCTCCAAGGACGACGGGTCGTGGAGGAGGAATAGCGACTGTTTACAGGAAGAGATATTTCTGTAAACAAATCACACCTTTAACATGTTATTCCAGCTTTGAGTTCAACTTGTTTGAGCTCGGATCTTCACAACCCGTACTGTGTGCTGTTTTATACAGACCTCCAAAATACAATAAGGACTTTCTGACAGACTTTGCAGATTTTTTGGCTGGAGTCTTGCCTAAATATGACAGGATCTTGATAGTCGGAGACTTCAACATCGCCGTGTGCTGTGCTGATAAACCGTTGGTCAAAGAGTTTTTACAGCTGATAGACTCTTTTAATTTGCTTCAGTTTGTGTCTGATCCAACACAAGAATGTGGCCACACCTTAGACCTTGTGTTAGCTCACGGTTTTAATGTTTCTAATGTGGAAGTTTGTGATGCTGCCTTTTCAGACCACATGCCTGTTGTGTTTGACATGCCACTCGTCTGTCGCTCAGTCAAACCTCGCGCTCCTGCACAGCCCCGTCGGGTCATTAACTCCTCCACTGCTTCTCAGTTCTCTGCAGCTTTTAGTTCTGCCATCAGCCCCACAGACCCTGTGGGTCTTCATTCAGATATCGATGCTCTCTCATCTAATTTTAACTCAGCCTGTCAAAACGTTTTAGATGCTGTGGCTCCATTAAAAACAAGAGCTTCCAGACCAAAGCCTGACCCCTGGGCTGATGAGGTCACGCGATCTGCCAGACGCCAGTGCAGGAGAGCAGAGCGGAAGTGGAAGAAGGACAAACTACAGGTGTCTTTCCAAGCTCTGAGGGACAGCTGGCGCTTTTATCAGTCCACTGTTAGAGCTGCAAAAAACAAATATTTCTCTGACATCATCTCCTCCAACTCCAGCAATCCACGTGTGCTTTTTAAAACAATCACCTCTGTTCTTAACGCCCCACAATCAGCCAGCCCAGAGAACTCCACTGAAATGTGTGACAACTTCCTGAGCTTTTTTATCAATAAGGTTTCAAGCATTAGAGCTCTCATAAGCCCTCCTTCTTACGACCCCTCCGTCTCCATCACACGCTCTGCTGTCTTCAGTCAGTTTGAGCTCGTCACCCTGTCTTCCTTAACTGACATCACTGGTCGTATGAAACCTGCTGGATCCCCAAATGATCCCATCCCACCTCGTCTTTTTAAAGAGGTTTTTCACACCGTGGCTCCTCATGTGTCCCAAATTATAAATGACAGCTTGGCATGTGGACAGGTACCAGCGAGCTTTAAACATGCAGTTGTGACACCACTGATTAAAAAACCTAGCCTAGACCCCACAGTAATGTCCAACTTTAGACCCATCTCAAAACTGCCCTTCATGTCTAAGATCTTGGAGAAAATTGTTTACAATCAGTTAACATCATACTTAAACGACCACAACCTTTTTGAACAGTTTCAATCTGGCTTTAAAACTCACCACAGCACTGAGTCTGCGCTGCTGAAAGTCTTCAACGACATTCTTTTAGCCGCAGACTCTGGTGACTGTGTAGTTTTAATGTTGTTGGACTTGACTGCTGCCTTCGACACAGTAGACCATCACATCCTCCTGTCTCGTCTGGAGAACTGGGTGGGCATTCAGGGTCCTGCTCTACAGTGGTTCAGATCCTATCTGACAGAAAGAAACTTCTGCGTGCGCATTGGTGCTGTGGAGTCCTCTGTAGCCCCTCTCACTTGTGGAGTACCTCAGGGTTCTATACTTGGCCCTCTTCTGTTTTCCCTGTATCTACTCCCTCTGGGACATCTTCTCCGGAAACATGGCATTTCTTTTCATTTTTATGCTGATGACAGCCAAATCTATGTTCCGTTAAAACAGGGCAAACACCATTCCTTGAAACAACTCCTGGGGTGTATGGCAGAAGTCAGAGCATGGATGTCACTAAACTTTTTACATTTTAATGACAAAAAGACAGAGGTCTTGTTGTTTAAGCCTAGTGAAGGCTCCAATATCCATGCTGATCTGGGTCCTTTAACAGAACATCTGACTGAGACAGCAACTAACCTGGGCGTGAGGCTGGACAGTGACTTCAAACTTGACACGCAGATTAAATCAGTGATCAAGTCCAGCTTCTTTCATTTGAGACAACTGGCCAAGGTCAAACCATTTCTGTCACAACATCATTTTCAGATCTTAATCCATGCTTTCATCACAACTCGCCTGGATTACTGTAATTCTCTTTATGTCGGTCTGAGCCAGTCATTACTGACTCGACTTCAGCTGGTTCAGAACGCAGCTGCCCGCCTTTTAACTGGTACCAAAAAATGAGAACACATCACCCCTGTTTTAGAATCACTACATTGGCTCCCGGTTCGCTTCAGGATTAATTTTAAGGTTCTTTTATTTGTTTTCAAATGTCTTCATGGTCTCGCCCCACAGTATCTGTCCGACCTGCTCCAGCTGTACACTCCTTCTCGCTCTCTCAGGTCAGCAGATCAGCTGCTGCTGGTCGTCCCAAGGTCCAACAGGAGACTGAGAGGTGACCGAGCGTTCTCAGTCGCTGCCCCTAAACTGTGGAACGAGCTGCCTCTGCATGTCAGACAAGCTGGCTCACTTCCTGTTTTTAAGTCTTCTCTGAAGACACATCTTTTCTCTTTGGCTTTTACTTCAGTTTGAAATGTTGGTTTTAATGACTCTAAGTTATTTGTTTTATTTTATTTGTTATCTTTATTTTATTTCACATTTTTAACGTGTGGGGTTTTTATGTTTTTGTATGTCCTAGTGTACAGCACTTTGGCCAACAGTGTTGTTTTAAAGTGCTCTATAAATAAAGTTGTATTGTATTGTATTGTATGTGCACAACTGGAAACATGTTTCCCTGAACAATGTAATTCTTACTTTGCTGTCCACAATGAATGCCAAGCAGAGAAAGAAAAATATTTGCAAATAAGAGGAAACCAAAAGTACCAATAACATAGCATGTGCAGAATGTAATATCAAATAAGACAAAAAGGTGTAAATTTGTAAAGAGGTTCAATCGAGTGACATCCATCCATCCATTATTTCTTACCCGCTTCTTCCATTTTGGGTCACAGGGGTTGCCGGTGCCCATGTCCAGCAATCACTGTGCGAGGGGCGGGATACACCCTCGACAGGTTGCAAGTCCATCACAGGGCCACATAAAGACAAACGAGACAAACAACCATTCACTCTCTCACACACTCGAGTGACATGAATATTCAATTATTTAAGTCTGATGACACTTGGAAAGAAGGAGTTCTTGAATCTGGAGGTCCAATATTTCACACTTCTGTACCTCTGGTCTGAAGGTAGAAATGTGGATAGCCCGTCTTAGGGGTGGGTAAGGTCCTTAATGATGGAGGCAGCCTTCCTGTGGACTCTGCAGTGGTAGATGCTCTGTAGACTGGTCAGTGGTTGTTCTCACACCATGACACCAGACTGGCTACCTCCCTCCTGTAAGCTTCTTCGTCCTCCAAAAGT